TGCACTGCAGGCGGTTTGCGGTTTGTGCCACGAGCTGGTCTGCGGCGACGGCTTTCGATCCAGATCCGTGGGTTTTGTACCACGACTTTCACTTATGGCCGTCGCTAACCGGCCAGACGTATCTGACCGGCCTTCCCCCTATCCGCCACCTGGGGACGCGCCCGATGGGTAGCTCAACCTGCACGGGAATATTAAGATATACTTTTGTCAATTAATATGCTGATTAGCTAAAAGGATGTATTTATTTTGGTTCTCAATTTCAAACATTATTTATTTGAAAATATTTGATGTGACAATAGTATTTATTTTGTTAATTCGTATATGGTGGATGTGTATTCATATTTTCCAAGCAAGTTTTTTGAGAATTTTGCCTCGTAATTTTAAATCACAGGGCTCGTTGTCAATTTGTATTGGAATACATGAGGATTTTTTTGTTAATCAAAAATTAGAAATTTATTAAAATTTGTTAATTTTTCGGCGAAATAGTATTACAATAGATTTTTACTTTGAAGCAATGCATTAATTGCCATAGCTTTGCATGCAACATTTGCTGATTCTGATATGATAATTAATACTTTCTTGTGGAAACTTTCAATTTTGAAGTCGGACACTTGCCTATGTGTTTTATTAACAATTTGCGTCATTTTATTTATTTAAATAAACTTTTAGGTACTATGCAACGCATCAATATTTTCTTTCAAAACGGAGCTTGTATTTAGTAGTGTGGAAAATCTCAGATGGTCACCGGGGAATAAACGAAATTTTACAATGGTTAGTGAACATACAGGCTCGAGCTCCCAATTCTCCAGTGATTATAGTCGGTACACATTATGACGTGGTCCAAGAGTTCAGCCCAAACATTTCAGAAGAATATCAGCAAATGATTCGAGACCGATTCATCAATATAGTGGATGCTGAGAAAATGGGACTGCCGAGGGTCTTAGATACTATAGAAATAAGTTGTAAAACGAGACACAATGTGAAACTTCTGTGCAATTTGATTTATGATACAGTTTTCAGTTTGCGACCTCCAGGTAAGAGGTAATAGTTGCATTTTATTATAACATTTGGAGCAATTTTAATTAATTACGCCAATTTTAAATCATCCTGTATAGTGGCTTAAATTTAAAAATAACTGTTTATTATATTTACAATGCGATTAAATTGCAATCTTTTAATTTCAATTGCTTTTTTAGTATTATCAGAAACAGCGTTAAAAAATACAACTCTTTGCCATTTAAACCAACACTGTATATCCACTAATAACAAAGTTACCAATGGTGTGCACTTAATATGGTACAGCCTGTATATTGGTCAATTCTTTATTGCACCTTTTTTTATTTAAGCAATTGCAGTCTTTATTATATGTCCTTAAGGCATGGCAAATAATCTTAAAATGAACAATTGCGGACCTTTTCAGCATGTGAAATGAATGTTTACAATTTGGATAATCTTGTATTTCGGGAAAGTTTTAGTTGGGTAAATTATTCTTAACTATTTTCGGCGTACACTCAACATTTATAGGTATATAGGCACAAAAAACACCTAAAACTAGTATTTAATTGCTTTTGTATGCAGGAAGCAAAGAATTACTTTTGGAGCAAAAAGTACCCGCAACTTACTTAGCACTGGAAGATATTGTAACCTCAGTTGCCGTTGAAAGGAGAGTTAATGGTTTAGATCCGGTATTAACTTCAGATCAATATAAGTCCATTATGACTTTGGAAATGCAACAGCGTTATAACAAGTCATTTAGGGATTCGGCAGAATTGCATCAAGCGACTTTGTTTTTACACGAAAATGGTGAGTTAAAATCTATATTTTACATTTCACTAAGTTTTGGGCTCTAAATATTATATTGACTTAAAAGTTGATGATAAAACTGGCTTTATATTTTAAGGTGTATTATTACATTACGATGATGCGACACTCAAAGACTTGTACTTTCTGGATCCACAGTGGCTGTGTGATATGTTGGCTCATGTGGTAACAATCCGAGAAATTAACCCGTTTGCTCGAACAGGAGTAATGAAACTAGACGATCTGAAGCATGTGTTTAAAGCTAGTAATATTGGCCCTATTGACACTAGGGGATATGTGGTAAATTTGCTCAATAAGTTTGAGGTTGCCTTAACATGGGATTCACGTACATTATTAATACCATCATTGCTTCCTTCTGAAGAAGACATGATCATTGCCCAAATGTATCCAGGACAAGCGGTGCAACCTCTAGTTAAAGTCAAAGTGAGCTTTCAATTTTTACTGAAACAAAATTTGCATTTGTGATTTTTGTTAACTGATATTCTTATGATTAAAAGCGTTAAATAATCAAGAACACATTTTCATGTTTTAGGTTCCTCTCAGATCTCGGGGTTGGGCCGTGCGGAGCAAGAAACTAACAGTTTCGCCAAAATCTGTATTGTACAATACTGACGGCTCGAAAGGGTTTCAGTTGACTATGGCCGCTAATTTATCGTCGAAAATTGGTAAGTTTCCAGCACAGTGTAGTGATTGGTTTCTGGGAGAAAATATGAAAATTAGGTTCTAACCACCAGAAGTCAGCTTATAATAAAATTATTATATTATAATTATAATCTCATCTAGATGCCGCAAATTGAATACAGTACGTACCGAGATAGATAGGTGTGTACCGTTTTATGATTCCCACCATTGGAATATCAGATACCGTACTAGCAATATAAAGTTGCTTAAATTGAGGCAAAGTTGCGCAATTTTGAGATATAATGTGCGAGGTATTTAATAGCCTTCTCGACCGAAGTATATGTAGAATTTTTTTTACTACTAACACGGATACTTGCCTAATTGATTTAATCAAATATTCAGCCAATTCAGATAGATTAGTGGAAACAGCACTATTCTAGGGAACTAAGAGAGGAAATAGTTCAATATCTCACACATTCACCCACACCGTACATTATTTAAGGACATTATACAGGGTGTTTTTTTATATCTTGAAACGCTTAAATATTTCGGAGACGAGTATTCCGAGGAAAAAATGTTTTAAATAAGAAGTTAATATCTGGAAAGGGGAATAGTGGTTCTAACTCAGAACGAAATTAATAAATGTCAAAGTCAATAATTTAAAATTTCTACGCTTTTATCAGCGCTCCTATATTGAATTGAGAAAAATTTTAGATGACTTTGACAGCTTCATATTCAAAAAACATTTCGAAATGTCACGTATTGGCAATGCGAATTTTCAAACTTACAATTCTATACTTTTAATAAACAAATAGATGTTTTGTTGATTTGGAGGTACATATTTGATTTTCATCATCAAACAATTTTCGGACCGAATATTCCTCTGACATTAATAGATGCTATTGGTCACACTAAAATGTTCAGCGTTTCAATTAAATAATAGATAGTTTAGCAGACCTAAAGGAGAAAAAAGATAATTGATGGATTACAGCGCACCTGTCAAAATCGAAGAAAATGTTTTAGATAAATGATTCCCAGTTTTTAACGTACTATTCGGTTCTCCAATGAAATGTTATGGTTACCATTTGAAATTCTCAAGTTGACCCCTGCCTAACCTACAAGGTCGAAGTAGGCGTTGTTTTTCTGACACGAATAAACTTTCCCCTCCCAGATATTAACTTCATATTTGAAACATTTTTTCCTCGGATCACTCGTTTCCACAATATTTAAGCGTTTCAAGATAAAAAAAACACCCTGTATATGATTTAATTAGTCTTTGAATTTCCTATTATTATTCTGAAGTGTCGAAATGTTAGATTTTAGCCTAACGTTCAGTTGTCAAACTGCCGCAACATAATTTGAAATGATGAAAAAGCAGGAAAATCTCAGTATTTCCGAAGATTTTCGAAAATCGTTTAAAATCAGTCTCGTAATTTTGTCCACATAAAGCCGCAGGTCCAGACGGGATAATTTCAAAAATGCTGCAGTCGGGCCTAGATATCCTACTCCCGCTTCTGAGAAGAATCTTCAGGCAATGGAACGTCTGCAATGGGATATGTCTCCTACGATTGGCGGGAAGCGGAGGTTGGCTTTATACCAAAACCTGGTAAAAAGGATTACACCGAGCCCAAATCATTCAGACCCATTAGTTTAACGTCTTTTCTTATGAAGATGTTGGAAAAAATTATCGACAGGTATCTGACAGAGGAAGTCCTTATAAGGAAAGCATACAGGAAAGGAAGGTTGACCCTCACGGCTTTCCACGCTCAGGTGCAAAAAGCTGAACAGGGATTACAAGATAAAGAAGTGACACTAGCCCTCGTTTTCGATGTAGAGAGGGCTGTTAATAAGGCCACATCTGCAATGCTCTCAAATCAAAAGGAGCTCTCTACTCAATAAGACCCAGGATCTGTTACGGCTCCGCGGTCTGGTGGCCGTCGTATCCCGGAAACTGGCGGTTCTGCAAAGACTGGCCTGGTTAGCAATGAGGACTACACCGAGTTTAGCATTGAATATCCTCCTAGGCCTCCCAGAATTAACCCTGTGCATACGCAGGAAGGCCGCCGCGGCGCTGAAGAGGATGGAATGCGGCTCCACGAGGCGCGACACCTACCCATGTCAGGGACACGAAAGAATAGGGGCCGCCATGCGTCGGGATATTCCAATCCTAGGTGCAAAGGTGGCCCCACCTAACAGTGGAGTTAGGTTATAAAAGAAGTTTAACGTGGAAATCCCAGCAAAAGAAAGGTGTACTTCTAGGACGGTGACGGCCCGAAAAGGGGGTGCAATGTTGGTACACCGACGGCTCAAGGGCGCCCAGAACAGGATTGTCCGGGGGCGCGAGTGTACCGGCAAGACACCAATCGGGGAGCATCCATTTCGTTGGGAGGCTGGACGACAGTCTTTCAGGCGGAATTATATATAATTCTCGAGGTTCCCACAGACAAGAAGGTCGTAGAAGGACTAGAAGAGAGATTGAGATCTAATCTGATAGCTAGGCGGCCCTAAATGCACTTCTCAGTGTTAGGATGGGCAGTAGACTGATCCAGGAGTGCTGCGATGCCCAGAATAAAGTGGCAGAACAGAAACAGGTAAAGCTGGTGTGGATTCCGGCGCACATGGAGTTCGCGGGGATTGAGCAGGCCGACGCAATAGCCAGGCGCGGATCTTCTCAGACCCCAATAACTGCCGAACCTCACATAGGGCTATCTTCTCGTGTACTGAATTCTCTCTCCTGTCCTAAGCTGTTGCTTTTTCTTGCTGGTTTTTGCATTGGTGAGTGCTAGTAACCAAATCCTGTTCAGCGCCATTGTCTCTTCTTTTCTGTTCAAATTGTCGTCGTGTTTGTAGATTTCAATGGCTTCTCGTATTAGTCGGGGGCGATACCCTGTTGTTGTACCAGGACCTGTGCCTCTCCAAAATAGACGTTGTGTGTTCCATCGCTGAAGAACACGCTTCCGCCACTGCCGACTTTTTCACATGTCCCAGTTTACAATTCCGTCGGTGTTCTTCTATTCTTCTCGCACCCGATCTCTTAGGAGCATGGAATCCGGTAGATTCCTGCAGTTGCGAGGGGGGTCTTCTGTCTTTAACTGACCCTAGACATTCTCGGATCTTTGTTGTGGGCTTGTAGACGGTTCTTATGTTGTGTTTCCTCAGGAGCCTCCCAATTCTGTCCGTAACCCTGGGAACAAAGGGCAGGAAGGCTTTCAGAGTGGATTCACTTTTTTCAGCACGGCGCACTCCTACAGCTTTTTTGATGTCCAACTGGGAATATCCGTTCTGCAGAAAAGCTTTTTTAAGTGCCGTAGTTCTGTGGTTAGATGTGGTCCACATATTTTTCTGGCTCTATCCGTAAGAGTCTTAATGATTCCCTGCTTCTGACTCGGATGGTGGTTAGATAGCTTGTGAAGCTTGTGTGGTCCAAACGATTCCCCTCCCTAGACACCAAAACATCCAGGAAGGCCAGTTGGTGGTTTTGTTCAAGTTCCATGGTGAATTGGATGTCTGGGTGCTGTTTGTTTAGATGGTCGAGAAAGATGTCCAGGTTTTTGCGTCCATGCCTCCATAGCACGAACGTGTCATCGACATATCGGTACCAGATCGTTGGTTTAAGGGGTGCGGTGCTCAACGCTGTTTCCTCAAACTTCTCCATGAATAGATTCGCCACCATCGGGCTGAGTGGGCTTCCCATGGCTACTCCTTCCTTTTGTTCGTAGTGATCTCCATTCCACAGGAAGTAGGTGCCCTTTAGACAAGCCTTGAACAGATTTGTTGTACTCTCTTCAAATAGCTCCGCCACTAATTCTATGGATTCGTTCAAGGGTACCTTTGTAAATAGAGATACAACATCAAAGCTGACAAGCATGTCCGTAAGTTCCAGTCTGAGGTCTTCGTCTTGCTATATCGTAAGTTGGTGATCCCGAAGCACTGACGATTGGTCTTAGTGGTATTCGTTCCTTGTGAATCTTCGGTAATCCATACAAACGTGGGGGGGGGGCTTCTGACCTAATGAGCCTCTTCATGGTGTTCTCGTCTATTGAGGATATTTTGATCAGGCGGTTGATGTTTCTGAGCTTGGCTCGAGTCGGGTCTTTTTTGAGCTTTGTGTAAGTGACTGGGTCCAATAAGTTTTGAATTTTCTGCTCATACTCCTCTCTGTACATGATGACTGCAGCGTTTCCTTTGACAGCTGGCAGGACGACAATGCTTGTACACCTTCGTATTTCCTTGAGCGCATGTTGTTCTTCTCTGCTTAAGATGCTTGGTGGTGGTTTTCCTTTCCGTAGGATTTGTGTGGTTTCCAGGCGTATCATTTGCCGTTTGTTCTGGGGCCCTTGCATTGCTGTTTCGGTGTTCGAGATAATTTCCTTTATGGGTATCGTTTTTGGGCTAATCGGAAAGTTTTCTCTCTTGGCTAAGACAGATTGCTCAGTAGGCGTTAGTGAGTGACTGCTCAGGTTCACTACAGTTCGTGCTGGGTCCCGGCTGATGTCGTTTGAGTTGTTCCTCTAGGTTTGGCTTCCAATTTTTCAAATTTCTTCTTGTGTCTCTTCGTGGCTCCGCCCAATTCTTGTTGCATGCTGTTGTGGGAGATGTCGTCAATCTTATTCCAGTCAGCGTAATGCAAACCGTTTCCCAGCTTGTAGAAGAGGTTTAGAAGTTCGCTGTCTGTTGCTGCTAGTTTACTTCTCACGTTGTGGATTCTTTACCTTAAGAATAACTTCTCGGTCCTGTTGTATATCCTGTGTGCTTGCATGGTCCTAAGGGTTTTTTTGCACTTCAGGAAGCCGGGGATGATGTTGGAATCCCTGCATCGGCTCAGGAAAGCAAGTGACGATAGGAGTCCTGCTTTTCGTTTGCGCATCTTATTTAACCGGCGGTGTAAATTAGATATTTCCTCTCCGTAGAGACGTTTTATCAAAAGAGATAGACTTTCGAGGCCTTTTCTTGAAACTAATTGCCAGTACCTACCATTTAAGTCGTGACAATGGTAAATTGCTGCTTACAACTCTTATTATGTAATAAATTATTAAAATCTAACTTTAACTGTTATTATTGAATTTTCGCAAAAGTGTTATAGGAACTTGTCATACTTATTTTTGCTGTAGACTTGCCTCATGACAGACGTTTTGAATTGGATAATTTAATAATATGACGAAATATTTGATCTTTAAAAAAATGTCGGTTCTTCTAGTTTAATATAACAACAACACATTTTCGTTAGTTACCAAACGGCTTTCAACAATTGCGGTATTTCAGCTCTTACATATGCAGGGTGATTCACACAAGCTTATGGACACAGAGCAGGAGCGTATAGAGAACCTGCAAAGAAGTCAAATTTCCATTTAAGTTTTTTTCTAAGGCCCATGGTTAACGAGATACAGGGTGTTCAAATTTCCAAAAATTTTGTTTTTTCTCTTTAACTCCTACAGTTTATGAGATATTTTGCTCAAATTTTTAACGTAGGCTACTGTTTAGACTCTCTGCCCGTCGATAAGCTAACTAGTTGCGAAAATCTACAGGGTGTTTTTTTCTTGTGTCATACCTTCGTTTTACCCGCGAAGTTATTTGTGGTGCGCCACTGAATAAAAATGCTGAAAAATTTTCATTCTGAGCAAGTTGAAACAGTATCGTAACTGCTGAAGAAGTGTGGTGGAGTATCAAGAAGATTTCCAAATCGTGTGCTTCCAAGTCGACAAACGTTTGCTAATGTTGAGCGGAACGCTCGGAAGACGGGCTCTCTTTGCCAACGCAATAACAGAGGTCGCATTTACTTAGTGAAGACAAGAAATGAAGAGCAAATTTTACACTACATTGGAAATGATCCCCAAACCAGTACCCGAAGAATGTCCAGCCAATTTAAGATAGCACAGTCCACGGTCACGGGATTTTCAAAAAGTTGAAGAACTGTCACAGGAAGACTTATCCTTTTCACTGATGAAGCCTGCTTTAGTGGAGGGAAATCACAAATCTACACAACAGCCATGAATATTCCGATCAAAATCCACATTTTAAAATAACCCGTCATTACCAAAGAGAATTTAAAATTAATGTGTGGTTTATTTTACCTAATCGTTTGAACGGTGCAAGTTATTTGCTTTTCCTATAAAACACTCTTGCTTGCCAGAGCTTCTTGAAGATTTGCCTGCGGCTTGACATGCACGATCGTGCGCCTCCGAATTTCTCTATACTTTCGTGAATTTTTGAACCTACAGTTTCTAAATCGATAGATAGGTCGCGGAAATAACTGACGCCAACGCTTGCCACCGCGATCGCCAGATTTGAATAAGTTTTTGCCGTTTGGGACTTTTGTTCTGTTTGGAATTTATATATTCAACGCCTGCTGAAACTAGAGAAGATTTATGGAATCGTATCAGTAATAAATGTACCGATATAAAAAATTACATTCAATAACAATTGACTTTAATTTATTAAATTAAAATTAAATAATTTAATCTTTTTTGATTTTATGAGATTAATTTCATAATAAATTAAAATATTTGTTACATTACCTTTTGTAAATTTATTTGGATTAGCTTACAGCCGATAATAATTAAGTATTGAAAATTAAATTAAAGTAAAAAAACCTTTAAGGTTAACTCGTCAGCCATCCTTTTTTAACTTCAACTTGCACTTCAAGCTTTCACAAAAAAATGTGAACAAAAGGACACAAAAAAAGGATAAGAAAATATGTGTCCATAAGGTTTAGAATCACCCTGTATATATTTTTTATAAAATTCATTGGTTTTCGCTTAATTATATGAACTTTGCGTAGTATTTTTTATAGTTAATTTATAATAATAGTTAATTAATTTTAAGTTAAAATAGTTTATTTTTATAGTTATATTTTTCTAATATACTTATAAACAGTATAAACAGTCATTATAATTGTATACAACAAATGACTATGTATTATATCTACTTGTAAACTCAGCTGAGAAAAATTGTTTCAGTTGAACATCAGGAGCTGATCCAGTACGAAGTTACTTCAAGGCACACAGATCAGTCCATTACCCGATTACTTCTTATGTCCTATTTTCCATCAGGATTTTGGTCTAGATTGATTTCGCGGATTTTAGCAGACGACTCGATAATCGATATAATCAGATCGTTTTTTATTCTGCCAAAGGAAGCAGCACAAGATGCGCACTTAGCTAAATGCTTGGACCTAAACGCCGAATGGGTATTGTGGCAGACTGGATTACAGCTAAAATATGGAGATATAACTTTGTTTCGGTTGAAGGAGGTTTTGCACAATACTGCTGCTCACTATCGGCAATTAAAGTGAGTCGATACTGATTTAAAGATTGAATAAGTTGAAATTCACTGTCGTACACCATTCTTTAGCATCTGGTATTTAGTTAAGAATGTTCACATTCTCATTTTTGAAATGCGACTGGAATGTTTTGTCAATGTTAAAGACATTATCCACTTAATTGTGTTTTAACATGTTTCTTAATTTTTATCTTCAATATGAACTTTTTCTGTTTAAAAAAAAACATTAACTGCCACGACTGCAATAGCAGTATCGCAGCTTTCTGCTGTGCATTTACGACTTTAACATATTGTTTGTCATCCACATGACCCATTCAAGTCTTAACATGTTAAAAATGATTGATATTTGTAAAATGTAAAGCTTTCTTTGAAAGGATATTGCAAATTAAATTAACATTTCATTTTTAAGTCTACAACAACGAACTGTTTGTTTTGTTTCTTAATATTTTATTAAAGGTAACTATTACTTTTGTTCTTATTTATCGTTTTGTACTTTTTAAGAGTGGTCTAGTTCAATATGTGCAAATTGCAACTCTACTTTTTTACCTTTTAGCGTTTTCAGCTTTAGCCTCACAAAAAAATCAATTGATCTGAAATCTGATCAATCAATCTGAAAAACAATTAATTCTTTTTCAGATTTAAAATAAAACAAGACAGTGTTTGGTGCGACGTGGACCTTCAGAATTCGTCAATATTAGAAATTCAATTTCCTGTCGATTCATTGATTGTGAAACCAAAATTGTCCGAACATTCGGATATGAGTCAGTGCATAATTAAAGACGAATTAATCTTAGAGTGCACTAAAGAGTCTACAGCTCAGTTATTAGCTCTAGCTGTAGATCATATAGATATTCTTTTGGAAGACTGGTATCCTACTCTTGGAACCCGATTTGTGCATACTTCAGAGGGCAAGTTCTTGATTACGCGATTGGTGCCTTGCCCTGACTGTATGGATCAAGCCCCACACGATCATGACAATTTTGATACTAGTCAACCTTCTACATCCCAAGTCCAGGATCTGTTACGTGGGGAAGCAGATCAAAGTAGGATCTATAATCGAGATATGCATCGAATAAGAAATTCTCAAGAATCTTCCACTTCGGAAGGGGACAGTGGAGTAGATCCAGACTCGAGTGTTTCAAGTAGGAATGTATCAATGGAAGGACATCCTAATTTACATCAAGATGAAGTTCTTAAGACGCCGATTTATTATTCCTGGTTGGTCGAAGAATGTATATTGGCATCGTATAATGAGAGGTTTTTAACTTGTCCATCTCATGGAGAAGTAAAGTTGGCACGAATTGCTCCCGATACGGTAAGTAAGCTAGTTGTAGAATGTCAGTCATAATTAATTTCACTTAATAACTAGTTAAGTACTTTTCTAATGTCATTAAACGCTTTCTTGGCTTGCCCTAAATATGTACATTTCCTAATATGCTGTATTTGATGAAATCCCAGAAATAAGAAACATTTAAGTCATTTGCGTCGGTAACAGTTTTATAGTGTACTGTTTCACTTTTCAGATGTTTCTTGATCTTGGCGAGAAATACATAATAAAACCGGAAAGTATTAAGAAAGGCAAATTACTAGGTCGTGGAGCGTTCGGTTTTGTATTCAAAGGTGCTTGTAAAGTGAGGGGTTCAAATAACGTTATCGACGTTGCGATGAAGATGCTCCAACCCGTTCAACCTGGACCAAACGCTCGCCAATCGGCCATTTTAGCTTACAAAGTAGCTCAAGGAAAATGGGATCGAGATCCGCTGCAGTATGCTTGTAAAGCATATTGCACAGCCAGACAAGAGCTGAATATTCTACTCAGCTTACGACATCCAAATATTGTCCCTTTTGTGGGAGTTTGCACCAGTCCCTTGGCTCTCGTTCTCGATTTGGCACCGCAGGGAGCATTAGATTTAGTTTTGAGACACTATCGTAGATCTGGAGCGAAAGTTGGACCATATACAACTCAGGCAGTCATTTTACAGGTAAATTGTTATTGTTTGTTGATTATAGCTTTATTAATGGAAGCCATTCAGAACTGGTTCGGGACTGATCGCATGCGCGTAGAAGCATTGGGTGTTTGCGGTAAAAAAATTACAAGTTCTGAACACAAAGTTATATCGATGGACCAGTTTTACACAGCAACAAGTCCAAATTTGGCCATTTTTAGTTTAGTACGGCAATATGTCCAAAATTAAGTAGTTAATCTTTTGCATACAGCAACAACTGGAAATTGTTTGGACTTGTCTACTTTAAATGCGATATTTCTTTTTTGCGTTAAGCCGAATTTGTAATTAGTCTAGTTTAACAAAGCAACAATTAGACATGTTGCTCTTTGATTTAAATGTATTGGATAATTATGTCAGTTCCATAGAGCAATACTTATTTTGAATTATAGCCTTATGGTACTGGACAAATCGCAAAATATCTTATGTTATTCGCAGCAAATTTTGATATTAATTGCTTGTCTCTATTTTTTGAGAGAATCGTGGATTTGGTGTATGTACTTTTCGCTTATTATAGATAGTTATTTAATTGCAAAATGAATGAATTTAATTGCATTCAACGTTGTGGCGAAACAAGAGCCCAATATATGTTGCTTTTGGTAAGAAAAGAAGTTTTTTTAAAAAGTAGACAACGGAGCCCTTAGTTTAAATTAATGTTATTTCAAATAAATAATAAAATAACGAAACTCCATTTGAAGGAAAATCAGCCCAAATCGATGCAGAGAAAAAATCTATTACTGACAATACTGTCATAAATAAATATGCAAAAGATGGAACCTATACTGTAATAAAAAGAAATGTGGAGCCAGAATATACTGTGTCCCGATAAGGGTAAAGAGCGGCTATATCTCGACAACGGTAGGGACTAGCGGTTTCAGGAAAAAAGTCCTTATAAGTAAAGTTGGCATAAAAATGACTGTAAAATGTATTGAAGTTCGTAGCTTGAGGCGCAACTTCTACAACAAAATAAAAGTCTTGGTATCTCGGGAAAAGGGGAGATGAGCTATAACTTTAAAAACGCTATTTAAGGGCCTCGGTAATACCACATCGTTTATCTCTTTAATATTTTTTTGTATCTTTTGTAGTAAAACACGGCGAGGCGAATGCAGCTTTCAATACTTACAATTTAATATCTCCTGACGTACTTAACCGATTCTACTATTTTTGGACTAGGACTCTTGGACTTTGGATTTAGGACTCAGTGGAAACCACATCGTTATATCTCCAGTCGTTCTGGATTTATAGAAGAAAATGTTAATTTTTGGAAAAAAAATAGGATTAGCCAGTGGTAAAGCCCGGGGCTACGATCCCGGCAGCGACCGATTTCTAAAAAGAAAGTGAGGCCCGGGGCTATAGCGCCCGTACCCCCCCTTCCCCCCTAGATTCAGCGCTGAGCGTACGGCACAAATAGTAACAATGAAACAGTAAAGGTTCAAAAAGTCTTAAAATTACCCACACAAAGACAAGCCAAAAACATCTCACAAATGTTCAAATTGTCTTCCATCATTCTCAATGCATTTATTTCTTCTAATTTCCATAAAAAAAACTGCTGCTTCAATCTCAGCTCTGGACAAGGTTCTGATGGCATTTTTAATTCTTCCCATCATATTTTTGCTGGTGGTGGGTTTGTCTTGGAAAACCAGGTCTTTTAATCTACCCCATAAATAGGAATCTAAGCAAGTAAGATCTTCTCTTCCAATCACGCAATTTGAAAATTTGACGTCTAAATGTTGACGTACTTTTCGAATATAATGTGTCGGACAACCATCAAGCTGGAACCACATGTTCCTCCTTGTTTGTAAGGAGACATCTTCCAAAAGCGATGGCAAAGAAAGGTTTAGAAATGTCAAGAACCTTTCTCCATTAAGTGTTTGGTCAAAAAAATGTGGTCCCATAATTTTTTTTTCGCCGATTCCGCACCATACGTTCAGACCAACAATTTTGGTGTTCTACTTGCCGCATCCAATGTGGGTTTTTCTCGGACCAATAGTGCATATGATGCAAATTAAGGCCCCCTGCGCTACTGAAAGTGGCTTCGTCGGTCCATAATATGTGTGACAGAAAATTTTGATCTTCCCGAATCATCAACAGCCAATGACAATGGTTTAGCCTACTATCATAATCAGTATTATTTAATGCCTGGTGTAAAACAATGTGGTAGGGATGCATATTATTATTTTGAAGAATCTTATAGACAATTGTTTTTGGAACTCCCAGGTCGTCCGATATGCTTAAGACGGGATCGTATTGCACGCAGGCCAAAACGTTAACAATATTTTCTACGGTGCGGGTTCTGAGAACTCTTCCAGGTGCCTGAACGGTCTGTACGTTACCAGTTTCCTTCAATCTCCTAGCTAGTCTGGAAAACACTTGTCTAGAAAAATATCTTCTCTGTGGAAATGGCACTGCATCAATCATCAAAAACTCGCGTAAAAATGTAAACTGTAGAAACTCTAAGAATTAATTTTTGACAATTATTACCAAATTAGCGATCCTTTCAATTGAGCAGTTACCATGGCTACGTCGCTAGGTGATTTGTTTCTGACTATGTCAACTTGATCCGATTTCTGAACTAAAAATATTTACATTTTCTTCTATAAATCGAGAACGACTGAAGATATCGCGATTCGGTTTTCACTAAAATGTAGGTAATTTCAAGCTGTGTAAGAGCGTGTCGAATCAAAAGTATCGTACTATTTACCTAATATCCAAAAATCACAAAAATGTGTAACCGCAGCAGAAAACGACCTCTTGTTAACTTGTTTCAAACCAAACGGTTTAACGAAAAAAGGTTTTTAAAAGATATTAACATGATCTTTCAAACAAGGCCAAAAATAGTGGAATCGTTCGAGGGGTTCAGGAGAAATTTAAAGTTAAGTACTGAAAACTGCAAGGGTCTTTTATTATGATAAATACAAAACAATGTCAGAGATACAAACGATGTGGTATTCCCCAAGCTCTCAAATCACGTTTTTAAAGTTATAGCTCATCTCCGCTTTCTCCGAGATACCAATACTTTTTTGTTTTGTGGTAGAAGTTACTCTCCCTAGCGGTCAAGCTACGAACTTTAATACATTTTTCACCCATTTTTTATGCCAACTTTACTTATAAGGAGTTTTTTCAGAAACCGCAAGTCCTTACCGATGTCGAGATACGGCCGCTCTTTACCCTTATCGGGACACCCTGTACAGGGGACTTAGAGAGTAGATACAGAAAACAATATGGTTAAAAAGTATTTCGTCAATAACATTAACGACTTGATAGAATTAACAGATGCCACCAACCAAACCAATAATATTATTATTGCAGATAGATTCAGAAGAGCACATTATTATCAACCATGATCAAGTTGTTGACTTCTTTGGCAGATAATTTCAGGGACAACTAGAGATCTTAAATGTGGATACCCAGAACATCGTCCAAGTTGGAGATAATATTGCAAATGAGTTTACTGAGGAGATAAATACCATTATGGCTAATGTCAATTTTATGCTTCGTTATCTCTAGTATGATCTCTTGATTTCTTCCGTTCCACGACGTTATATTCAGCACGCGATTCGTGTAATGCAGTGTTCAGGTTGTCTTTTTGATTGCCAATGCGTTCTCCAATTAATTTTCCAATGTCCTGGCGAGTGTCGTAATCTGATAGGTCTGTCCGGTTTTCGAGGCGTCTTCAGTTCTGTGAGCCAATATGGGTTTTTACCTCAGGTAGGTAGTTAACGTCAGCTGGGAACCCTCTTCTTTTTATCCGGGCTTCGGACCGGCAGTGGCAGTTATTGGGCTACTCAGTTCACCCAACGCTTACCTCAGGCGGAGTTGAACTCGGCGTTCGCGGAACGAAATGTTATGAACATGTTCTGAACTGATCCTGCTCCCAAATTATGTCCGTTATCGGTTACATACTTTTCTAGAATAATAATAATAATAGTGTTCCTAAATCGCTACCGAGAATAGTGATTATATTTTGTTGCCAATCAAAAATAAATCTAGTTTGAAACCGAAGCTAATCAGTATACTTTGTACAACATCTCTCTGTTAAAAAAATGTCTCAAACTAGCACTGGCGAATTGAGAAATTACTGGAACTAACTGATATATTATCTTCTAGGTGGCCAAAGCTGTTGAATACCTACACCGGCAACATATTATCTATCGTGACTTGAAGTCTGAAAATATTTTAGTATGGGATATGCCACCTCCATTTATTGATCACCCCGATTATCCCGTTCACATTAAAGTGGCGGATTATGGTACTGTGCAACATCTACTTTATTTCAGCGGCACTAACCTTGAATTGTACCTTAGGCATAAGTCGGCTTACGCTGCCATCTGGGACCAAAGGTTTTGGCGGCACCGAAGGTTTTATGGCTCCCGAAATAATGAGATACAATGGTGAAGAGGAGTACACCGAAAAAGTTGACTGTTTCTCGTTTGGAATGTTTATTTACGAACTACTAACATTGCATCAACCGTTTGAAGGACACGAATCTGTGAAAGAGTGCATACTGGAAGGAGGCAGGCCGCCTTTAACTTACAGAGTGAGTTCGTGTCAAGATAAACGGGAAATTGAGGAACACATTGTTGATTTTTAGGAAACGCTGTATCCAAGCTACTTCTTGGATTTAATGGTTCTATGTTGGTCTCAACAGCCAAAAGACCGACCGACCGCAAGTCAGATAGTGTCTATTGCCAGTGCACCAGAATTTACGCATTTGTGCGACGTAGTGTCTTTGAAACATAGCGCTTCAGTAGTAGCGTCTACTAGTGCAGCTCTGACATACATCACGGGTAATTTATTTTTAAACATTTTTTTTTTGCCGATATTGTCAATCTTTGCTCACATTTAACTTTTACTAATCTTGGCTTTTTAGATGATGGATTGTCGGGATCAGAGATGTGGCTAATGTGCGAAAATTCCAGAATAGACCTGTTGCTTGCAGCTGATAGGGGGTGGTTGCAATATCACACCATGGCATTGCCTATTAAGCCTTCCGCCACCTGTACAGTTGGAGATACTGTGTGGATTGGAGACTGTTCGGGATCTATTCATGCATATTCGTAAGTTACGTTAATTGCATCCCATTTATTTTTATCATTATGTAAGTTTTTTAGAACTTGTTTCTCCTATTATCTATTTTATGCGTGTAAAGGATGGCCCAAATTGGACACTCAAACGGAAACTCCTATACCAGATAGAGAAAAACTATTAATATTTATATATAGATAATGTCTGAATTTTGGCACATTAGTTGAAGGCCACTGTGCCCCCGTGTTGGAGTTGAAGCGGGTGAAAATACCAGCACTATATACATATGCTTCGTCTGTCCAAATACAACTTCAACGGAAAATTGCGCACTTTGCTAAATTTGTCCAGGAACCAGCGGCAAAAATTCATTCGTCGTTCTAAATTCTTAGGTCTGAGATGATGAACTTGTCTGGTCCTATACGGTTTGAAATTACATTTTCTCAAAGTTCGCCTAGCTCTAGTTGTTGGCAGATCTGTTTCTTTCGCGTTGATGTTCTGGGATTATTTTCATCGGTTCCTAATAATGTTATGTGTTCTAACTCTCTATACCTATTTGACTTATATCTTTTTGGATCTCAAACTTGCCATAATTGTTAAATTATATTGCAATCTTGCAAAATTATCACATCCCACTTTTCATTATTCTCATATTTTATTTCAGATTCGATAGTTTCACTAAAACTCAGAAATAATCAGGATATATACAGCATTAAGAAAAACTTTGTCAACTGTCATTATTGACATTGGTATTCGCCTACGTCCAAAGCCTACTCGTTCAAAGAGGGCAATTGCAGTCGAGATTTGCAAAAAATAATAATTAAACCTTTATATTTCATTGAATAATTGAGCAAAATATAGTGTGTTATATTTTAGGAAAGATAATTCTAGGCGTAAATTAAATATGATAAAATACACGGTGTCCCATTTCAAAATGTAATATTTTTGTTAATAACTCGGAAACTATTTGCTGCCGCAAATAAAATTTACATGATTGGATACTATGTGAAAAGGTGCTTTGGAAGTGTTTCCGTAGACATTTTTTTGAAATCACAGGAAAAGAGTTAGAGATCCATTGCAAAAGAGCAGATTTCTGGAAAAGACCGTGTACCTATGAGGTGGGTAGATATATTGACATATGGTTTCGGTCATTAATTTGGTCGGAAAAATCGAGGCTCAGACGCTGACATCAGTTTTCGTGCATCTGCTATAGAAATAGGTATTTCCATTCTAAAGTGTCCAATTTAGCCCACTCCGTACACCTAATTCAAACGTCACCTGTTTGATACTATAAATTTACAAAATCTACAAATTAGAAAATTATATTGTCGGTCATTTTTTTATAAAGTTTTACGCAGATGATTGTCTAACATATCCTTAAGGTCGCATTGTTTAGTTCTAGCGATGGTAGAAAGCTATTTAATTATGCCCTCGAAACTGAACCAGAGTCCCAGGTTCAATCATTAGTTTACCTTGCCCCATTTAAACGAGTAGCTTGTGCATTGTCAAATGGCAGACTGTTCTTAGTCGATTCTGAAATTCGACCAATGACACCTACAGCTGCAGAAGGGACATTTGTAATGACCGAGCTGGGCTTAACTTCTGGAATCAATTGTATGTGTTCGATATTCAGGGAAGGAGAGCGGTACGTATTAGACAGTTAAGGGAATTAATTACTAAAGTTCTTGTCAGTTTTTTTTATAGATGATTTTGTTTTTTTCCTCTTATACGCATTAATACAGAATTTATTTTCTTCTTACTAATAGGACAGTTTGAACGTTATTTATTTAATTTTAAATACGTAGCATTAGCGAATCGTATATTGCATTATTTCTAACAAGAAGAAAGTGGCGGATTTTTTAAAATTGACGTGCCGCCGTGGATTTCTGGTAGATCTAACAATAAACTCTTAATTTTGCATGCAGCTTTAAAATAATAGTGCATGGGGCGACAAGTGGATCCAGGGTACGAGGGTGGTTAGGGAGGTAAAGGGATTCATCAGGCAGTCCCGAAGGAAATAACCAAAACCGACGTCACGATAAGCAGCCATTTTAGTGGCCCCTCTTCTTTTTCTAGTGCACTCCATTACTGGAGATTTGCGATCACTACATCAAAATCTTCCCTATTATGTACCGCTCCTAGTAATTGTTGAACGTTCATGCCTGTCCAAGTTCTGATGTTACGTAGCCATGACATTGTTCTTCTGCCTACTCCGCTCCGGCCTTCTATCTTTCCTTCAATTATTAGTCTTAGCAAGTTGTACTTGTCATTTCTCATTATGTGGCCTAAGCATGAGGTCTGTCTTTTCTTAATCGTTGTTATTAGTTCAAGTTCTCTATTAAGGGTGCTCATTGCTGCTTGATTCGTTATGTGTTGTGTCCATGATATTCTGAGCATTCTGCGATAGAGCCACATTTCAAAGGCTTCTAGGCGTCTCATGGTATTTAATTTTAGTGTCCATACTTTAACTCCATATAGAAGGGCCAAACGTATTTTTTAAATCTGAGTCGAATATCTAAGCCTAGTTTACGATTAGAGATAATTTGCTTCCATTTATTGTACATATTCCTGGCCTGTTCTATTCGTGTTTTTATTTCTACATCCGGATCCCACTTATCATTTAGTACTACTCCTAAGTATCTGAACTTGTGGACTTGTTATAGTTGGGTGTTATTTAGATAAATGTGACAGTTTTTATGCGTTTTGTTAATTGCCATTACTTCAGTTTTTTGAACATTTATCGTCAGTCCCATTGCCTCACTAGCATTATGAACTATATCTAATATATTTTGCAAATCTTCTATAGTTTATGCAATTAGTACGGTATCGTCTGCATATCTAATGTTGTTAATATATTTACCGTTTATTTTCATACCAATTTCGACATCGTCTAGTGCTTCTTTGAATATGCATTCAGAGTATAAGTTGAAGAGCAATGGAGACATGACGCAGCCCTATGGGGCATCTCTTTGAATGTGGACGCCTTTAGTGATATTGCCGGAGTATTTTAAAGTAGCCTCTTGGTTCAAATAAAGTATTTGAATTATGCGGAGATTTTTTCCGTCTTCATCTTCTGCAATTCATTCAAAAGTTTTCCATCTTGCACTCTATCAATAACCTTTTGATAATCAATGAAGCCTAGATATATTTTTTTCTGGTGCTCTACCTAATTCATTTCTGAATTAGGGTTTGAGTTGTAAAAAGAGCCTCTCTGGTCCCTAAGGCCTTTCTAAATTCAAATTGAGAGTCTTATGTCTAGTTCACATTTTCTGTAGATACGATTCTGTATGATCTTCAAGAATATTTTTTAGAAGTGACTTATCAAGCTAATGAGCCTGAATTCGTCGCATTTTCGGGAGTTAGCTTTCTTAGGTATAGCTATAAATTCTGATTTAAGCCATTCCTATGGTATTACGCGACCTTTATATTTGTTATTAAAGAGGAGTGTTAGTAATTTTATGTTGTTATCGTCTAGTAGTTTTAATGCATCTATTTCTATTTCGTATGGACCGCAAGCTTTCCTATTCTTTGCATATTGGATCGCATGTTTAACTTCTATGTCTAGGATTGGGGGTCCTTTCACTTCCCACGTCGGCGGCTGGTGTAATTTATTCAGGTGTGTTATCCGCGAAGGATTTTTCTATGAATTCTTTCCAGATTTGCATCTGTTCGTTTTTTTCTGTAATTATTCTTCCTTTGTTATCCGTTAAGATGGGTATCTTTTGTTCTTTGTTATTATAGGAGGCTTCTTTTAATTTTTTGTGGATGTTTAATGTGTCATGTTTTCTGCCTAGATCTTCTATTTCTTTACACATTTCATTTATCTACTTTTCCTTTGCTTCTTTGATTTTTGTATCGATGGTTCTTTGGATTTCTGTATATAACTGTGCATTGTTTTTGTGTTTTCTTCTCTCTTCCATAATTTCCAAAATGTCTTCCGTCATCCATGTTTTCCCTTTCTTACTGTCCTCACTCTTTAGTTCTTCTCTATGTACTGACGTGTCGTCGGGTAGTCTCAAATACGAGACACTCGCTGGTCGCTGAATGCGGCGGTGACGGAGCCGGTGATCTGCGCTCAGAGTCCGCGGATGGCATGATCTCGGCGTGGTACGAATCCCCACCAGTGGTGCGGCGTGAAAAGGCGCGGAAATCCCGCTCCATGTTTAATTGGCAGGCTTGAGGCCTAAAAGTCTGTCAGGGATGCCAGTTAATTGCTGCTCTGAATTAACAAAGAGAATGAATAAAATAAAATGGAGAACACCGTTCAACACAACAACCGTGGACGAAAGGCGTGGACGAGTGGCGAAAGGACGTGGGCCGGATGGATCCGGGAACACTTGGGGCGCAATGTTATCCCAACTTGAGTTATTCGGGAAACCTTCACTTGGAGATCGCGTTTAGGGAAACCCGAACTTACTCTAAAGAGCCGTTGCTCTGAGTGGAACAAGATCTTCCTTCCGAAGAAACTTCCTACTGCTACTTATCAACGAGTCCTTAAATCTAACATCGTTAGAGTGTCTAACACTCTATGTAACTTAAGATATATCATCGTATGACTTAATCTAAATTAACCTAACAAAACCTAATCGAAACCTAAACCTAACAACCTTTCTTGCTTCCTATAAACTAACTTAAAGTTAGCCCATGGTCCTCGATGTGGTGCAGGAACTGGTCATCGCATGTGGTTTACGTCTTCTTCTTAGACTGTGTCCGCAAGGAGAGGTCTGCGGTCACAGGGAATTTCTTTTTGCAAGAGACCCGGACTGTGGGATTCTTGCTTTGCCGGGCGTTGTCCAGGAACTTTGATGTTAAGTTCCGGATATGGTCCAGCAGGTCATCTGTTTTGAGGTCTTTTTGCAGGGTGGAATTTCTGACAAAGTACGAGGCCTTGGCTGCTATCCTCAGTATCCGATTCTGGATTAGTGCCAGCTTGTGTTTCTGGCAGGTGCTGGCCGTGGACCATGCAGGAGATCCGTAGGTCAGCACCGGGCGGATTAATTGTTTGTAAGCTCTAACCTTTGTTCGCAGGAAGAGCTTACCTGTCGGCAGAGGATAGTAGGCCTGGAGCAGGTATCTTGCCTTGGATGTTGTGGCTGTCATTTGGTCGTTCCATACTAGTCGCTTGTCGTAGATGAGTCCAAGATAGGTAACCTTGGACCTCCAGGGTAGCCGCTGTCCTACAAGCCCTAGTATGCCTGGCGGAGTCTTGAAGCCTCTGGTGAATGGTCTGTGTCTTCGCCGGATTAAACTCCATTTTCCATTTCCTGATCCATTGTTGGACCTGGCCGAGATCTCTTTGGAGTCTAGCTTTCATGCAAGTGCCCTTCCCTGCGGCAGTGATTGCTACATCATCTGCGTAGATGTAGCACTCTGTATTGGTGGTGCTTGGAGAGTCTGCCATATAGATGTTGAAGATCTCCACTGATCCTTGCGGTACTCCTGACATCATCGGTCGACTGGTTGAGAGCTGGTTCTCGATTTTAATCTGGAAGCTGCGTCCAGATAGGTAACTGCTGATGAGCTTGGTAGCCCGGAAAGCCTGCTGTGATCATCTTGGCTATCAGGGCCTGGTGCCTAGACTTTGTCAAACGCCTTTGACATGTCTAGGAAGACGGATCCTAGACCGCTTTAACGGTTCAACCTTTGCTGGATTCTTGTTGTCAGCCGGGCTGCGAGTGTGTTAGTGCTATGTCCCGGCCTGAATCCATGTTGTTCATCGAGCAGCACCTTCTTGTCTTCTATTGTATCCTGGATGTGGTTCAGGATACACCTCTCCGTTACTTTGGCCATCATTGGTAATAGGCTGATGGGCCTGTAGGACTTAAGCAGCTTCCTGTTTGCTCCTTTTTTGGGAACCAATATAATAAGTTCCAAGATTGCATTTGCCACTGTGGTGAGGTTCTCAATTGTTGCTTCTGGAAGTATCTTGAGGACCTCATTTGATATTCCATCATGTCCAGGGGCCTTTTTCCTCTTTGCCCCCTTGATGATGTCCTGGATGTCCTGGATGATCTATGTGGTGACTTTTCTGACTGGAGTGGGCTGCCAGTTTTGCAAGTGGGCGGCTATTGTGTTTTCCACTTCCTCTTCTTGCTATGGGTGATCAACCAGGTTAACTCTGCATTGGAGCTCTGGATGTTGACCGGTCGAAGTCTGAACTCTGTATGTTGATCCCGAAGTTTCTGGTGCAGGGTATTAAATACCCGCGGAGTCTGCTCTCATGGGTGCCAAAATTTAAGGCGGAGTTTGTTCGGGGTTTATGGTGCGACCTACCGCGGCGCCCTGTACTCCAACTATCTTACTTTTTATGGTCTGCCATGCATATTCCATTCCATCTCCCGTTATTATTGTTTCTTTCAGTTCTTCATTAAGTTTGGTGGTTACTTTTTCTTTAATCACTTTGTTTCGAAGTGCTTCAATATTGCACTTTTTTGGTTTCCTTCGGCTTATTGTTTTTAGCTTGTGTCTTAGTTTGATAACGGCCGCATTGCATTCTGATGATTTACACATGATACATGCATGCCTGCATAGGTTTTTGCACTCTGAATACTTGATTTGAATCTGCGATTAATCAGAACAAAGTCGATTTGATTCCTTACAACATTTTGCTCGTTGTCTTGAGGTGATTTCCAGGCATAGATTCGTCTAGGAGGTAGTTTGAACCAGGTGTTTGAATCACATATTCTTCTTCTCGACAAAATTGTATTAGTCGGTCGCCTCTGACATTGCGCGTGCCCAGTCCGTATTTTCCAGTGATACCGGTTAACTTTTCTTTGCCGATTTTTGCATTAAAGTCGCCCAGTTATTATGTTGATATGGTGTTTCTTAAGGTTTTGTGTGATGACCGTTATTCCGGTATAGAATTCTTCAATTTCATTCTGTTCTCTGTTTGATGTGGGTGCATGTACTTGTACGAGGTTGAGTATCGTGTTTTTAGATTAAGTTACATTAGCGCCATTCTTTCGAAGTAGGGGTGAAGTTTTCTATTGATTTATCAATGTTCTTGTGTATGATAAATGCGACGCCATATTGTTGACTACAGCTATCTTTTCCTCTCGAGACGTAGATAATGTGGTCATCAATTTCAATTTTTCCTGTACCGAGCCATCTTACTTCGCTCAATCCTAATAGTTGTGTTTTGTTTCTTTTCATTTCCTGAATTAAGTTATGGACCTTTCTTGATTTTAGTAGGCCTCGAACATTCTCCAATGTTCCAATTGTTAGTGAATTTCTCATTATAGCAAATCCGGAGATTCTTCGCACCCCTGCTTCATTTAAGAAGCGCCGGGACTCGGGGCCAGTGTTAATTTTACCATTGCCATGATGAGTGATTTTCTTAAGATATTCACAAGGGATATTTGATGCAGTATTTTCTTCTTCCATTCTTGCTTTCTGCATCCTGATGCCGTTGGCCCTATTGGTTCTTCCGCCTTTAGAGGCGATTTCTCCACTCAAGGACAACAGGGCGACCTTACCTCAGTCCACTCTTCCACCTTCATCAAGAAGCTGTTGGTAGATCTGAGAGTGTCCGGGGTGTCGTTAATATTTATATTAATTAACTTATGCTAAAATACATCTCCAGTTCCTAAATACACACTAACGCAACCAGTGGTCGGAGATGGGTAAGACCATCTCCAACATTTCGCCATAAAACACCGAATTGAGCATACTTAAGATCGGCGAACGAGCGATTGTTATAATTTGATTGTGATTGTGATAATAAATAAAATATAGGCCAACTGATATGCCTTCAGATTAAAAAGATTAAAAAGTCTTTGTCAACGTTATGCGATTTGGGCGACTTTTTGTTTATCACTATACTACTTTCTTTACCCAAGCCTTGGCAACAATGCTCCTGTTTTCATCTATGACGGCGACATTACGGCGAATCGGTTCGGATTGACTATGCATGCCGGCCATAGACTTGTCATAATTTTAGTTCAGTTATTGTAGTTGGTTTTTTGTTATTTCCATTGGTTGCTGTGTTTTTGTGGCTTGTTATATGCTCGGCTCCTGGGCCGACAATAAGCGAAGGGAAAGACATCATCATACCGGAGTACCGTACTACCCGTATAAGTATCTGGCATTCCTTTACGAGACAACAGTCACGTTTACTTTAGATTTTTTCATTTACGCATTCACCAATCCGTCCAAAATTTAGGAGCAGGGTTCTGATGAAAATAATAAGACTTTGTTCTATGAAGTTTCTAATATAACAACTTGTTAATTTTATTTGTCATTGTAGGGTTTGTGAGTTATGGTGTGGAGGACCTAATGGACAAATTACTATATACACAATAAAAGACCAAGTTGTAGCAAGTCATGAAGTCTTAAATCATTATCAACCAGTAATCGATTTGGTAGACGTAATAAATCTAGTATCAACTGAAAATATGGTATGGTCTTATGTGAGACCCGGTTGCGTGGTGTATCAATGGGACGTGAAGACTCGATCGATTGCTAACAAACTGGATTGTTCAAAGTTGGTTCCCTGTTCCGAAAGTTTAAAGTCAATTGCTATCGAGGAACATTTGAGTCCAACAAATTGCCAGGTAAGAATTTTGTTGGAATTTTATTGGTTAATATTTATTTAATTCACTTTATTTAAATTCAATACGCGCAAATACAAAGTAGAGTCATAGAAATAGTTTACAAAACGTAATTGTAACTACATGTGCGGATAGAGAACACGTGATCCGTAAGGGACTGTGTGGAACTGACCTGGTGGTGTTCTGAGAATCTTTTTCGTTTCCATTAAGGGTTTCTGAAAGATAATGAGGGCAAACCCCAAGTACCAGGATGGGCTGCACTCTCGCAAAATATAATACATCAATGCAATTAATCTACTACTACTACTGTGAACCGAGACCAGTTTGTCCTTCTTTTATTTCAGCGCCAGTAATTCGTCAAAGATTGTTGACTTTGCCTGGGCTAAAGATGTGGGAACTGCACACGTATTAGTATCACCCTGTATTGGAATCAAGAACGATTTACTGCCCGAAGGCTGGAGCGAATCTTATCAGCTTCGTAGTTTAGTTGGTAGAGCATTATGCCGGCGTCATGAAGGTCGTTCCAAGTTCTGCCGAAAGCAGTAAATTTTTCGTATTCCAAAAATTATATGTCCGCTTAAGCCTCGAAGAATCCCTTTCATTTAGAATTTTCGTACACTAAAAACTCTTTATTCTTTTAATGTTAAGCATTAAAAAGAACACCGCAGTTTTGTGTAAAAAATATACCTGTTTTGAGTTATTGGATCTATGTTATTACTCCTTTGAGGTCAAATCATATAAGAGGTTTCTCAGCATTATCTTTGGTTGAGAATGAGAATGAGATTATATGAGAGTAGTATGTGATGTAGATGTAGATTCAAAAGTATTGTTTTTCCGCATGCCATTGCTGCAATTTTTAGAAATTGCCTATTTTAAAATGTAAGTATTTCAATGTCTATATGATACCAGCAATGTACGAAATCCGACAATCTTCATTTCGCACATTCTACAAATTGACCAACTCGCCATTCTCTTTTCAGAATCGCTACTACTTTGGGTAGTAGCGATTCTACAGAATTACAGGTGCAAGTCAATCTGAGTTTTACATTAATGTCGTGACATCTAATGTCGGGACATGAATTTCAAAACAATGTCATTGTCTGAACAGCCGAATGTCTCAATGTAGTGTTGTGACTTTAGTGTCACATATCAAAATTGTTTGATATACACTGCGACATCGTGACACTGCCGATACCTCGTTGACATTTCTTGAAGGTTATCAATCTTTGGCGCGATATTTTCATTTGGTTTGGTTTTAAATGTTCCCTTCAGATTTGATTACATTTCTGGAATATTACCAATCATACCCATGTCTATGGGATCCATCGATTGCCGATTATAAGTATTGTAACGGAAATGGCCTGGGGTACTCAGGTTTGGAATGGGGGATCGAAATTCATGGTATTTCAGTAAATGGGAGCCCCATTTGAGCCCCATTTGGACTGTCAAATATGACACTGACAAGCGGGAAATTTCGCACCTGGACTGGAGATTTCGAGAACCTTCTGGGTTACCTGGAGGAAACTATATAAGCGACGACGAGCACCATGGGGAGGGAGTCAAGTGACAACAGCGACCGAGTTCAGAAGAGGTTAAACCCCGCGAGTCGGAAATCCGAGTTTTGCGTTTGTTATTGTTATTGTTTGTGAAGTTGACGTTAATTTAGAAGTTAGTTTGTTCCTGTTCCGTAGTTAAAGTTGTACCGAGTGGAATAAAAGTTGGAAGCTGAAGAAAGAGTTCGATACTCGGCCATCCACGGTACAGTATAGACAGGAACGTGACCAAGCAGAAGAGGCGCGTCTTGTCGAATCTGAGTTGAGAAAATTGCAAAAAGACTTTGGCTATTCTAATTGCAATTCCCTTAGTAGAGTTTCTGATGCCCCTAGTTTATTTCTACGCATAATCCATCGTCTCATCCATACTAGTTTTATTAATTTTCGCCTCAATTTCAAAATAATTACTTCTTTATATATATATTTACACCTGACATTGACTAAAGAGAATACTTTGCTGTTAAATTTTATGAGTTATATTGCTCCTGATGCTGGAAAACTTTGCTGTTTAATTTGGTGTCATTTAGTAATTGCGCGAGCCAAGAGAGACATCTTTGGTGAAATTGAACTTATTATGCAGTGAAGACAACTATAGTAATTTGTTTCTATTCCTGGGAGAAACAGTCCAGTTGGCAGCGTCTTATAACAGCGAATATAACAGATTGAAAAAATAAATAGCAAGTGTTTGTCATTTAACTTAGGTGTTTTCTTGAACTATTTAAATAACAAATATATTTGTAGTTTAATCAAGAAGTATTTTTTTACAAATTGGATGAATGAATATTCGTGTATTGTCAAAAACATAAATCCGCCATATTAGTAAAGGTTATTTGAATTTTCATACATATTCTCAGAAATATGCTCAGTTCTTTTTTATTCACGATATTTACACATTTCCAGAGCATCATTTCTTGAAAATATTGTCTGATTCATAATTCGTAAAGATTATTCCAATTAATGTTTTGCTCTTAAACATTGCAACATCATTCTTAATGGCTTGGTTGAGAATATACAGGGTGTCCATTTTTGTAGCTCAACTATGGGAGATGTCGGTAACCATACTATATACGAGATTGGTTAAATTGGGGCAAAGTTGGGCAGTCTAGAGCATACTAAAATGCTCATTGAAAATTTTAAAAATTTCTGCTACTTTCGGAGATAACCGGAAAAATCGGAATTCAAAAAAATTGCCTTTATTTTTTCCGCAGCTTATTTGGCGACTAAATTTAAAATGAATAATATTTCTTCATGTTGTAACTAAAATCAGACTTATGGATTCTTGACAACCATCATCAACTTTGTTTTTTCTTTTGGGCGTCATCTTTGATTTTTACATGTTTGAATTCAGTTTTTTTTCAGACTGCGATGATGTATCCCATGTTAAAGTTCAGTCTTGCTGTTTGGTCAAAATAACAAACATTTTGTTTTTGCAAAGAGTGCTTTGGAATAACACCCACTCTTCTAAAGAAGAATCAGCAGATTATAGACGGTGTCTATATCTGTTTGAATTCTGCTCAAACAGAAAAAAAGGAAAAAGTGTAATATAAATTTGCAAAGGATCATACTAAACTTCGAGAAACTAGGAAATTAAGAAAATTATAAGATGTGCTCAAAAGCCACTCCACTTCCAAGCATAGATTTATGCGTCTTCTTAAATTTTGTATTGATTTTAACACGCCTCTTCTAATTTTGGTCTTTAAGGTTGTGATAATCTTCCTTCGCAGGTCGATAATATGGGTGGGTACAGATTTATAAATGAGGTTTGTCATAGTTCACCATAAATAATAATCTAAAGAGGAAAGATTTGGTGATCGTGCCATCCAACGTATCTGCCCATTGTAGGAAATAACTCTGCTGGGAAATATTTCAGACAAATAATCAGCCAGTATTCTAGCATGTGGTGGAGCAACATCTTGCTGGAACCATACTGGGCGCTAGTGCGGTAATAAATTAATTGAAAAAAACACTAGTGCGGTAATGAACATCATTATGACATTTGAAAGAGTGCCAAATCATAGTCATTATATAACAGTTGTAGATAAAGTATATTAAACTAGATATGACTGCAAAGAGATCTTTTGAGAGAGAGAGAGAGAGAGGATCTTAAGAGCTTTAAAAAAAGGTGTAACTCGACTGATTATTCTATTTAAGATATACAAATTGGAGGTGGGCTCCATTTGTCTCAAGGACGTCTACCTATTGGAGACTTCGAGGCTCAACGTTTTCGTTGAAATTTTGTTATTTTAATTAGTTTATATTGGTACGTCTTGTGGATTCAGATTTATTGTTGTAACTACGTTTAAACTTAAAACGTAAAAAATACATGTTTATTAAGTTCACGTCAATTTTCACAGTCATATAGATTATAACAAGAAGAAGTTGGTGTGTACACACTGGATGAAATTAAATCAAACAAGTTTATGTAAAAAAGTTACATAAACCTTTTTTACAAAAACTTGTCTGACTGAATTTAGATTATATTTTAGCTAGTCAGATTATTAATATATTTATTTAATTTGGTTTCATATTTGGCAGGTTTCCACACTGGTTGTACTAAATGATGAAATTTACATTGGAACCACTTGGGGATGTGTGATTATAGCAGAAAAATCGACGTTAAGACCTATAACGATTTTCAGACCTTACGAAGAAGAGGTTAAATTGATAGTTCCTTTAGCAGTACCAAAGAGCATTAACGAGAGTCACGAAAATACACCTTTAATAGCCACAATAGGTAGAGGCTACCGCAGTTTATTGTCCAGGTACACCGACGTACCATTTCCTGTGGGAACTCCACTTGCCAGTCCTATGCCAACGAGTTATACCACGTATTTGAATAAACCCAACATGTTCATATTGCTTTGGAAAGCAGAGCATTGGAGTGCGGTTTAAATCACTTTCTCTAATAAGATTTTATCTATTAATTAGCCGAGTGAAATATGGATGTTTTTCAATTACTGAAAATTAATTATTGATGTATCTGAATATATTGTATTCAAATAGTGTGCTATTGCATTGAGACGGTTCCTAATTTTAAGCAGCTTTTACAGTCATTCTCGAAGCATGACGAATGAAAATGTCATTAAGGTTGTATACTTTAGTGGCTTCCGTTCCAAGGACCGTTGTAGAATAGTTTGAGATTCAAAATGAATAAAAAACCTTAATGTGTCACTAACAAGACATGTTATGGTCAATCACAGGCAATTTGTAGCGTTTGTCCACAAACTTCCTTGAAAAAAAAATTATGGTTTTGAGTTAAGTTATTTACAGTCCGAGTCAAATGGAGGAAAAATACGTTTTGGTGGTTTAGACCTAGATATTTTGTAGCTCAGAAACTAGGGCGGATTCGGTAATAGCTTATATGATCAACTACACGTGTTTTTATATTTGAAATCATACTGTATAAAAGTGTATTTTACTTAAAGTGTTAATCCTAGATATATTAGAAGTTCAATATTTTGTAAAGATATTTTTTGAAGTGTTTGGGTTAATAACTTTTAGTATTAAAACTAAAACCACTCAGTTTCCTTTTAGTCCTTAAGATGGCTCAAATATAGCCGTAGCGTTGGCCCAAAAAAATGTTTTTGTATCTATGGACCGATTAACCCAAGCATCTCAACAAACTTCGAAAAAATATTTCGCCAATTAGCATCCTTGTCAACAAACTGCAATATTATTTTGGATTATATACGTTTTAAAACATACATTTTGCCGGAATATTAGCTGAATCAGTTTACAGTTTACCAAGAAAGGTTTTGTTCTTTCTGTCCTACATTTTCTTATTCTCAAGTGTTTGTAGAGTTCGGTTGATATTTGTTGATGCTTGACTGTATGTTGCACTGACGAAATTATTATACATTATACATAACAATTTAGATATGGTTGGCATCGCAAAAAATTTGAAATAGTTTAGTTATAAAACTTACCCCATTTAAATATATTTTCAATTCGATTAAAGTTTTTCAATGAATTATCAATAATATGAAGCATTTATTTTTATGAATCATTTGATCAAATTTATTACTAAAAGTAGTGCACCGATCGATGTATTTGCATTCCAATTTGTAGTGGTATTGTTATTAATTTTAATTCTTTATTTTTTGTGCAAGTGATTTTTTAAATTATTTTTGCGTTTTTGTGTTGTTTAGATTGTAATAATTTGGACTGTTTTCATGATCTGTGATGATTTCTCAAAATATGAAGATATTATTAATTATTATACGGCCCTTTATTTTCAACCTATTATCATTCTTCTTTTTTATGATGGAAGTTCTACATGTATTCTTAACTTGCTATTATATGCTTAGTTTTTGCAGTTGCTCTTAACCCATTAGCTCCCAGCGTAACCTTATGGTAACGGCTGCAAGCTAGTTTTCAAAGCCAAAATGTGCCATTACATGAGCACTATTTTAATAGATGGGCCTAAAAATCTGTTATAAATGATTGAGCACGTGGACTTTCGGCAGCTAAACATATAGCTGTTTCATGTTGCATTGATAGAGCGGGTTTGGTTTCTATAAAATTCTCGTTGCGGTGCAAAATAGATTTGAGTAACTATAGCTCAGTTATAAGTTCGAAACTCCACGTAACATCTCTAACATATTAAGTAAACATCATAGAAAGACCCGTCAATTTTATTTTTAAGAGGGACACTGTAAATGAATATTTTTAGCCTCCTTGTTTAAACCCCTTACGAGGGGTAATGTCACCCTTAGAATCTTAAATGGGAACGGGAATTAAGTGGCAGATCGTTTTAAAGGGCGTTGAATTCTCTTTACATTAGTTATTACTTTGTTGCTTTTTGTCCAGGGGTTTTCGAATAATCGCGTTTCAAAATTACAGAAACAATTAAACTTGCCTGCATTGAGATTTTGCTTTTCAGACTAGTGCTTAAACAAAAATTATGTCATTGGGCCTCCTTATGGTACAAGTGATTAGAAACTAATTTCGGATTTACTGATTATTTTGCTTCTAGAAAAATAACTTTTTATTTACGGAAGAGAAATTTAGGCAATTGAGATGAGAACCCATGAGATCTACTTACGCTCTATTTTATTAGTTGTTCAAAATGTTGTCTCTTTTTCTGTAAACAATAATAAAGTATATTTTCGAACCCTCCCTAACATTGATAAGATATTCCCGGATAGATCGATTGGCAAAAGGGGCCTCCAAGATCACCGGATTAAACACCTTTAGACTTCTTTCGCTGGAGATATGTTAAGTTCATTGCTTATAAAACACAACATGCTGATTTTTCTATAAACGGTTCGGAATACTTGGGTAAATTTGGGAAGAGAGGTCACTAACTCCTTAAAATATTTTTTGTTTTGCTTTACGTCTTGAGGTGCCCCCACCGCGATAAAAATCGTAACTGTATTTTGAAAAAAATCGAAAATTTCTGATTTTTACTACAGTTGGCCTAAAGTGGCTGCGCTGTAAAACTTATCTGCTATGGTCGTGAAATACTTGTACCGAAAGCAACTTTCTTCCACAGCCACCGCCACTAACCGCCCTCTCGTACCCGCCAATCAGTCACTCAGTCAGAAACTAACAATTGCGAGGAGAGGTCTCGTGTAATCGATTTAATTGTGTAATAGTGGTAGGAAAAAAGTAACTAATCGGTATTCGAGTACTCGTTACTCATCAGTATCTGAAGTAACGAATGTCGAACCAAGCTACCAAACGAGTATTCAAGTAATCAGTAATCGTTCTTGGAAAATCAAGTCACCCATCCTAATCTTGACTCCAAAGCCCAATATTCACTACTCGTACTCGCTCAGAGTAACTGGTAATTAATACCAGTACCGAAGTCCTATAGTACTTGTTCAGTACCGAGTACTTGTTCAGAGTAACTAAACTAATGGTAATCAATAGGGCTCGGAATTTTAAAAAATCTGATATTTAAATATTCGTTTAGTGGTTTATTGGAATAGTAAAATTATTCCAATACTCGAATATTTGTTAGATATTCGACTGTTCGTTTTCCGTTCACCGTATTCCAAGAAGAAAAATGGTTATCTCATCGTTTTTGGCAACTAGCCGCAACGGATAAAAAAGTGCCTTTGTCGGCACATTAATTGTAACACCGCGCAAAAGTTGATGACGCGTATCACCAGAACACAGAGACGTAATTTGACGTAATTTGACAAGACGTCTCTGTGTTATCTCGGTGATTCGCGTTATCAACTTTACGCGGTGTTATAATTAATGTGCCGACAAACGCACTTTTTTATCCGTTGCGGCTAGTTGCCCAAAATGATATGAGATAATAATTTTTCTTCTTGGAAAACGGTGAACGGAAAACGAATACTCAAATACTTGAATATCTAACGAATATTCGAATACCCGAATATTCGTTAGATATTCGAGTATTCAAATAATTTTACTATAAGACTTTACTATAAATCGAACAGAGATTAAGAAGCAAAAAGACAACGGCACGCGGTGTTCCCAAGCGGTCACCCATCCAAGTACTAACCGCCCCCAACATTGTTTAACTTCGGTGATCGGACGGATAGATATATAGATAAAACATTTATTAATATTTACATTATATACGGACATTAACAGATTAACAACAACGACAACAACAAATGACAGGAGCAAGCCCTGTCAGTGCATGGCCAGATGGTCGGCCTATGGTTTAAATGGGCGGAAAGGAGTCCAGTACCTGGGCAGAGCCCTACAAGGACATTCGCGGATTCGCAATCGCACGAAAACGTGAGGAGATAATCTTTAAATGGCCACTTCTCTTTCACTGGAAGGGCATTCATTGAGGAAAAAAGTCTTCCTGAAGGGAAGACAAAAACCCCTTTTGCTTCGACCTTTAAATTGATACTATCAGCCGTGGCGTTTGCCGCAGGCAGTAAACGATTTTATGACCTAGGCCGTCAGTCACGTCATGTTGGAGGTGTGCATTTCCAGCCTGCTAGAAATGACTAGGCCTGCTATATGCAGACAATGTAGGTTTGTTGTCACGTTTTGTTATGGGGTAAAAGCCTCATGAAACATGGGCAGGCGCTTATACAGGGGACCGTGAGTTGGGCGATCATTTGGACTGAGCCTTGCACTCCACTATGATAAAATTTCGCAGAGATGTTATCTATATAGTCAGCTATATAGGGCACCCCTGTAGCTTCGTGCAGTTTGGTGTTTCTGGTGCATCTGTCAGCCGATAGGACGCCTCAGGAACCTATTTTGGGTCCTTTGAACACGCCGTCTTGTGAAATCACTGACAGAATGCCAGATAGGGAAGCCGTATGTCAGTATGGGCCTGATTGTGGAAATATAGCGCAGAAGCTTATTTTGAGGTGATAGGAAAGAGTTTGGCGCCAAAAGAGAGTATAACTTTCTTCGGGCCATGGCTGTCTTTTGTACCGCATTTGAAATATGCGATTTGAAGCGAAGTCGGGCGTCTAGTCTGAATCCCAGGTATTTGACCTCTTTTACTGGAATAATGGGGGTATTTTGAACCATGAGTGGTGACAAGATTTGATTGTTACTGGATTTGCGCGAGAAGACAATAAGTTCTGTCTTCCTGGGATTCACTTTCAATTTCCATTTGTCGAAGTACGTCGTCATCAAACTCAGGTGGTGTGCAATGCGAGGTTTCGCTGCCTGAGCATGAAAAGACGACGTGTAAATAGCGATATCGTCAGCGTAGAGTGCTGTTTTTGTAGTAGGGAGCATCGGAATATCTGCTGTGTACAGAGTGTACAACTGCGGCGATAGAACAGTACCTTGCGGCACGCCTGCAGTAATGCGTCTTTTGGTTGAGGTGGAATTCTCCACCTTCACCTGGATTGAGCGGTTTTTAAGGTAAGACGCAATAAGGGAAACTAAGTATAGCGGTAGTGAATAAACGGCCAACAACTTGTACAGTAGGCCGGCATGCCAAACTGTGTCGAAGGCTCTTTCCATATCGAGGAGCAGCAGGGCCGTACTTTGAAGTTTGTTAAATGCTGCATAGGCATCTGTTACGATCCTAGCAGTCTGCAGCGTTGTGTTATGTTTGGGCCGAAAGCCAAACTGCTCGTCCGGAATTAAACTTCTAAGTTCGGCTGCCGCTTGCAACCTCAAAAGAATAACCTTCTCAGTTAATTTAYCGAGGGTGTTTAAGAGGGAAATCGGCCTATAAGAGGCAGGATTAGCCGGGTTTCTGCCCGACTTTAAAATTGGAATTATTACAGCGCTTTTCCAGTCCTGCGGGAAATGCTGAAGTTTCAGGATTGCGTTGACTATTTGTACTATTAGTACAATAGTTTTCCGCGGCAAGTTTTTGAGGAGTAGATATGGGATGCCGTCTGGCCCAGGGGCTTTTTGGCTAGGGAGACACCGAAGACACGATTGTATTTCCGACGGGGTTGTAATATAGGAGTGCAAAATCGAGGGGGGATAGGATACTTCCGTTCTACAAATACAGCGGTCGGTATTTCTATCTCGTTATCCTGAGGGGTTGGTTGGACTTTGTGCACATCTGCCAAAAAGTCTGCGAGAAGCTCACACTTGTCACTGGTGGAAATGTAACTCGTCCCCACTGTTTTAAGAGCGGGGACGTGCTCATAGCCTTTTCGGAAGCTTCTCGACAGTTTCCACAAAAAATTGTCACGGGGAGTTAAGTTTCGCAATTTTTCCGCCCAGGTGAAATTCCGGTAAGGGGAAATTTCGCTTTGAATGTCTCGTGCAAGTTTAGCTGCCATTATGCGATCGGCAGGTTGCCGAAATCGCTGCCAACGCTTCCTGATTCGATTTTTGGACCTTATTGTCCAAATTTCCTCAGGAAGGTTGTCACGTTGAGGCATATTGGGCACTTTTCTGGCTAAAGCTTGTTGTGTCCGTTGTATATTTCTGGTCAGACCTTTTACCGCAGGCTCTAAAGCTTTGACAGTATCGATCTGGCTCGGAATACACGTCTGGTTTTGTAGTCTCTTTCGATATTCGCGAAAATCGAAGTTTTCATATGAGTATCGAAAGTCGTTAGTATTTGTGCGCTTTATATCCTTGATTTCAAGGTAAATGGGTAAATGGTCACTGCTGAGGGCGTCTACTACCACCATCTCCGTGAGATTGGTGAGTCCTTTGGCAATTCCAAAGTCAAGGAAGGATGGATTCCTTCCAGTGCTTGGATAGTGAGTTGGAGAATTTGTGGGCATAACAAGTAGGCCATTGTCGCGAACCTAGTTGGCAAGAAAAGGGCCAGCGGCGTTTTTCTGTCCA